GGAGCGTGAAGATCTCTAAGCGCTGCTGATCCCTTCGAACCCAGCTTTTTCCTTAAGAGGGCAACAGAGGTTTAATTTGTCGAACCCACAGAGCTTCAACAACTCCGGGGGACCTATTTACCGAACCCTCGGAGCCTTAACAACTCCAAGGCACATAACCTCTAGCCTCTCCCCGTCGCCGATCGCAGTCCAGACGTATCTCTGTCCTAAGGACCCAACTGTCGAACCCACGGAGTCTTAACAGCTCTGGGGGACCTGGGAACCGAGTAACACTCACGGAGATACAGCTGCTCTGTGGGAACGAATTCTTGAACCCGCGGAGCCTGAATCACTCCGGGGTCAAGGAACCGAGTTTATTAGAGTCCTCCACCGAGAACTCAAGCGGAGCTGTGCCTGGAAAGCTGACCAGCCTACACCGCGACCACCTTGGGTGTAAGTAAATAATCTTTTCAATCAACCATTACGCCTCCGTGACTGATTCTAGCTCGAGTGTACCAAACCGCACTGCGGTTTTTCTCCAGCCCTGTGTACCCGGGCTGCCGGCCATAGCCTGTGTGCACAAAGACGGGCCCGGCTCGCCCCCGGCTCGCCCATGGCGACCCAGATGGGATAGGGAGAGAACTCGCACATGGCGATCCAGGTGGGATCGGGAGAGGGCCCGCACACCTCTAATTTAATAGCGTTCAGATATGAAATCTAGCTTAAGCCAATTTTTGTCCAAAATATTTCCTTTCATCTGAAATGATAAAACTTACATATATATTTAGGGTCAGGGCATCTGGATTATACAGTGTAGCATTGAGTTTTCCTTTTAAATATGCTCTCATTTTTAACATGCTTGGTGTTGCATTAGTACCTGTAAAGTAAAAAACAATTTGTAAAGTTCTTCCATATTTTTCTCTCCTCCTAGTTTGCTGGAAAATTCTGATGTCTGTATGAAACAGAAGTTCAAGCAGTCATGGAAAGGCAAGGGGTGCCTTCAGACCCATTAGTTCCCTACAAAGTGCACACACCCTCAACCTTTAAGAGAAATGGAAACTGTGTCAGGGGTACTCAGTATCTCCTTTTATCTGGCCCAGTTTGGATCACTTGTGTCCTAGAGTTTCTTGAGCTTTATAAAGGAAATGTTAAAGTATTTTTTGCCCTTTGTGATAAAAAATAGCTTGGTCAGTTTTCCAGGCCTTGAAAATATTTACTACAACTACCAAACAATGCCTTATATCCACAAAAAGCTATGTAAAGGCTGCTACAGCTGACAAGCTGGAACATCTTTGTAGCTTATGAAGGCTGACTTGTACAACCACAGAGGCCTGCTGCTGGTGCATTTCAGCAACAGGAGGGAGTATCAGGGAAACTGTTTTGTCTGGGGCAGAGGTTCCCAAACTTTCTTATTGCATATCCCCTTCCAGATTTACCAGCTGCCCACATATTCCTACCAGCATGCTTTTAATATTTTAATCCCTTAAATGCCAATTATTATGATAATGAAAATTAAATCCATTATGTAATTTCTCCCGCATACCAACCAGAGATGTCTTGCATATCCCCAGGAGTACACCTGCCACAGTTTGTCTCAATCCTGCTTTAATTTTAAATCAATTATAATTGAGTGAATGGATGGCTTGCAACAAACAAGTCCGTCTTGCATTATACTTTTTCTTCTTGAATCTTTATCCTGTTGTTTTTAAAAGAGTAACTCTTTAGTGGAGAGAAGTCATACAATGCTCAATATCACATCCTGCTTGTCCTGTTTGAACATTGATGTCATAATTCTGGGTCTAAACAGGAGTCCTGTCCATTAAGGAGACAGGTAAGAAGAAAAAAGTGTGTTTCCAGAAACGGCAATTCTTTCAAAAGTGAACTTCCAGCAGAAAAAGTAAATCATAATTTCTATGCCTATGGTTATGAAAGAGCAGATTTTTTCAGATCCCCCAATCCATACCTGCTACTTCCCAGTTTGTCCGCTGATTGACTTCTGTGATTGTGACAAAATAAGGAGATGTCAGGTCTTTATATCCTCTTTTACTTTTAATAATGAAGTAGATCGGAAGTTTTCTAACTGGATACTTCATCCTAAAAGCCTAAAATGTAAGTTATATATTGTCATACAGTTGCATTTTAAAGGTAAAATTGTGTTGGTTATTTAAGACGTTTATTAAACATTCAGGCCATGCCCACCTGCAATTGTGAACTAGAATGTCTCTTTAGAGAGTTAGTTTCTGCCCCCATGTTGCCCCCCAGGCAATTTGTACTGAATCCAGGGTGGTTTCCTGGCTATGTCTAAGGGCAGAATTTATTCCTAATAGGAGTTGTTTCCAACTTGTTACTAGTTCTTACCTTCTCCTTGCAGTCTGAGAAGGCTACAGAAAAAGAAAGTTTCTCATTGTCAGTGCAGTTGCATTTTGCTCGAGATGACTTGTTAGCACACTTCTTGTAGGTTCCTGAAGTCTGTAAAAAGACATATAACCTGAATTGACCTCATTTTTGCATAGATTCTGAAATAAGCATGTTTTTTAATAACAAATACAAAGTAGATAGTTTAAAAGGTATACATGCTGCTTGCTGCAGACCACATGTGATATTGTTGCTGGTCAAAATCCTCCCATGAGAAATTAAAATTTTTTAAAATCTGGTTGAGATTCAAATTAGGGCAAACAGTTGAAATCCTGGATAGTTTCATGAAATTAAATATTCCAAAAATATTCTATTTCAACCTTTCAACATTTTTATAAGGGTGAAATATTCCATTTAGTTTTATATTATTTAATTTTATTTGAAATCAATAATATAAAAAGCTAAATGTTTTGACCTTTTCAATAATTTAGTAATTTCCTGTGAAAATATTGACAACTTCAATATTTTGATTTCACTAAATAAGCCTTTTCTGGTGAAGAACTATTATACTTTAAAAATTTCAAACAACTCTACTAGGAATTCCTAAAATAATCTCTAAAAACCAGAGCTAATATGCTTTTAAAGTGTGTTTGATGTCAGAGATTAGTTTACCAATTTATTGGAAGGTTTTCAGTCCTATTACATAACTTGTAGTCATTATAAAAAAGCCTGCTTATACTACAAATAAAACACTTATTTTGTTACAAGCTTGATTTCTAGAGAGACTGAGAACCTCTAAACTTTTAACATATATATATAAAAAACTAGATTTTCAGGCAATTTGCTGTCAGTGTATTTCTACCTGTCATATTGACAACAGAAGCTGCAGCACATACAAGTTTCATGTATTTTTACAACAGTAGTCTTAGCCCTGTGTGCACTACAGTTTCTACCTTTTTCTACCAATCAAAGATCAGTGTCAGTGGTACATGCAGGGTTCTATAGGACCTCTGATGATCAGGCCACCTGATCATCTGCTGCATCTCTTTCCTGGTTCCTGTCCTATTTGCATCTCCCCGGTGGCATGACTGCCCACTTGAGAATTTGTATCTCCTCCACTGAATGCTTCTGCTATGATGAGATAGGTACATATTGTAGAAGGAAAAGGATTGGTGAAGTAAAGCTTCATCTAATAAATTCTTGGCTGGCATACAGTCTTCTAAGGACCTTAGTCAACTGTCTAAGGTACTCATTGTCTACTCCACTGCCAAAGTTTCTGGTACCTTGTGAATCAGAAATGGGTAATCAGCACTCTGATGGCCCTCCTCATTTCCTGTGTCAAGCAAAAAGTGGATCTGTCTGATAGTCTTATGCTGTGTGCATTAGGTATCAAGGGCCCTCTTTAAAGAGGAAAGCATTTTGTTAGTGTAGGTCAAAACTAGGATCATGGAGATACATATATGGGGGGCATCCAGACGAGTGCGCATGTGCAGTATGCGGTACTGCAGACCCATTTGCAGTGCTGCACACTAGCGCTGTATGAAACGGCTCTGTCTCATTTCAATTTTGGATTCAGCTGTTTCAGAGGACAGTGCTTCATTTCAGTGTTTTGGATCACTGTTCTGTTTTGATTCAGCTGAATCTGTCTTGGAGTTTCAAGACTGTTTTGGAGGTTCAGCCACAGGCTATAATGGGGAATCACTAAAATGCCTATACTTTTGTCATTTCTTGCATGATTAAGATGAAAATTGTAGGGATGGTAGCCCCTTCTGAGGGCACAAAGCCTACCAAGTTTCAAGGAGATAGGTTCAGGAGTTTTTGTGAAACTGTTCAAAGCCAAACTTCAAAGAGATAGGTGCAGGGGTTTCTGTGAAACTGCACCTCAAACTGTTCAAGGCAAAACTTGTGACGTGTGACTGTGTGTGTGTGTTAAGGCTCAGTGGGATGAAAATAGCAGGCATGATAGCCTCTTCTGAGGCCATGAAGTCTGCCAGGCTTCAAGGAAATAGGTGCAGGGGAGTTCTGGGAAACTGCATCTCAAACTGTTCAAAGCAAAACTTGTGACACTTGTGTGATTTTGTGTGTGTGTTAAGGTGATGTGGGATCAAACCAGCAGGGATGGTAGCCTGTAACAGGGGGCCTTCCTGGTGCCGGTTAGATCTCCACCCACCCACCTATTTCTGGGTCTGCCACGCCTTGATGGAAAACTGATTTAGATGTTTCCCAGGTGGGTGGCTCTCCATTTAGGTGTCTTGGGGTGACATCCATTCCACAGCTCCGTACTTCCCCTAACACTGTGGCCCATGCCTCACACATTGCCTCCTTCACCCACTCCAGCCAAACCTCGTTAACCTCATCACCAGAAGCCAACTTCCTACAGTCAAAACACACTGAATAGATCCAGACCATGCCATAAGAAATGCAAAACCTGCCAACATACTAATCCAGTCTATTACAGACAAGAATACACAACTACCTGTGGGGTCACATTTCTCACAAGAAACCCACTCTGTCTTCAATCTCTCAGGCCTGATTCTCAAAGGGAATTTACAAACCACTTTTCACAGGCCCCACTGATCCCAATCTCCCTGAGCAAGGCCATCTCATGGATGGCCTTCTGTTGCTTGACCAGTCTTTCGAGCATCAGGTATGTGGAGTTCCACTGAGTTTCCACATCCTGAATGATTTTGTGCTGTGGGATGCTCAGCTCTGCCTGTTTGTCCCGCAACATTTTGCCCGCCTTGAAGCTCTGGTGGAAGTAGCCTGCCATCTTCCTGCATTTTGAAATGAACTGTCTGGTCGTGGTAGTGATGGTGCCATCACCAGCAGCCCTGTCCCCCTCCAAGGTGTCCTTGACTATGAGGTGGAACTTGTGTGCCACACAGAGGATGCCAACAATGTTGGCATCACAGACCACCTTGACCATATTGGCTCTTTTGTCGGTGACCATGAACCCATGGGTGAGCAAACTGTGCCCAATAAGCCACCCCTGCACTATGCGGTTCATGGCCCCTCTGGTCTCCATTGCCATGTGGGACTCATCCATCACCTCTGGTTGAAAGAGAGCCCACCAACAGCTTGACTGATTGTGCTAGTGCCCTGTGAGGGAGAGATAGGCATGATCTCCACCCTGTCTGCTCCAGATGTCTGAGGTGAAGTGTAAGGCCACCTGCAGACCTGCCTTGTGCAGCTTCTCCCTCAAGTACTCCCTGCATGCCTCACACAGGGAGGGCACCACTATCCTGCTGATGCAGGCACACAGTATGATGGGGCCATGAGCGCCATGAGCCACCCGACCCTTAGCCGCTCAACTAAGGAGAAGGGCTGGAGCAGCTCAACTAAGGAGAAGGGCCTTCCAGAGCAAGCATCTCCCCAATGTTCTGGGTGACCTCGCTCATCTTGGGAACACGCCCTGCTTTCCCTCTGTCTTTTCCCCTCTGTGACGGCGGCGTGCCGCTGTCACGGGCGCAGGAAGGGCACAGAGAGGATTGGGGGGCAGGAGCACCTTCTCAAGAAAGCCCCAGGCTGAGCTACTCACCCTTGGGAGGGACGGCGTCGTCAGAGCCAGGACCACAGAAGCAGCCGCAG